ATTAATTAGAATAATTAACATTAATGTTCTTAGGTAGGTGATATCGCAGCGAAATGGAAGTGACGTGTATTGCGTTATCACGGTCGGGACTCTACCGTATCTTATCTTATCGAGTATGTGTAGCTGGCGTGAGTAATCTTTCACTGTTGAATTAATTGTTGTGCGTCTGGTCCGGTAGTCTTGGGGTCTGTTGTCTGACCGAGTGTCTGGAAGGAAAATGCCGTGCGGTTCGTATTATTAGCACGGCTATGTTGCTTTAGCCGTGTCGTGGTGACAGAATACACCAGTCAAGGAGCCGGAGGATGAGTTGTTTCAGAGGCGCTGAAGAGGTATGGAGACCGGAAGTCGTGACGTTGTCGTATTACTTTCCACTTTTGTGTTAACCTAACCTGTTTCTGCACCGTTATAATCTTCTGATGCTCTGTTACTGTCTGCACTGCTGAAACTCTGCGCAGGTGTTGATGCTAGTAGAAGGCATGGCATTCGTTGTGTACGCCGATGCAAAATGTTATACGTGTGGCCAACAGAATGTTTTTATTTTTGGATTAGTTTGCGCTTTTTATTGTTTTAGTACAGTATTATCTGTCGACAGAAAATCGTCTTGTTTCATTTTGTGCACGACTACAGATTACCACGACGACGTCAGGTGTAGCTCAGTCAAAAATCGCGGACTGGTCTGCCGGCGTCAGATCTTCCTGTTAGGTCGGTGTCGATGGCTGTTTCGCAGGGGATAAAGCTTCCGGGAGACGAAGCTGAGAATGAATGGAGCCGTGCCATCACTTCTAGTACGTCTTCGTAGCGTGGTGTTTAAATTAGCACAAGAAAAATTTTACGAGTGTAGGCTGTACTCTGTAGAAAGGCGCGCAGCATCGAGAGGCGTTTAAATTCGTATTTTGTGGGGGTTAACTTCGAGTTGTTACGCCCATTTTCACCCCCCCTCCCCGACTGTCTGGTTTAACCTGTCGCAAATATTATTCAAGCCACGATGTAGTCTGGGATATCCGTTCTTTTGTTGATGACGTGTATCTCGAAGGTTTTAGCGCTTAGCCTAATAGTATCATGGGCTTCTGCACTACTGGCATAAAAAAAGTTTTGTTCGAGGGTTTGAAACTCGGCCGTCTGCTTACGAAAACAAAATATACATGTCGGAATAATTTCATTGTAATTTCTTGCAGGGTCGCTCGTCTGTTTTACCTTCATTTTAATACAGCCCTGGATTCCACGATTTTCCCACTTTTCCCCTGTTTGGCTACTCTCTCCAGTCACGTGCTCTCTCCCACGTTCTGTTCGCATTTCCTCCGCTGACGACGGGGCACGCGCTCTTGTCCCCTGAGCTCGACGGACGCGCCCCCTCGACCGTTTTCTTATTGGCCTTGAGACGCATTTATCCAGAAAGCCACGACAAGAGCACCCATTCTAGACATGATTTGTTCTTTTCGGCATTTGATGACGTTTTCTCAGCTGCGTAGGTTGTATACATTCAAATTTCATGGCGCTTGTGAATGACGGTTTTGAAGGGGTGTGAAACGTTGGGCTGCGATGGCTGTTTTATATTACTGCCACATCTGTTAGGAGGACTTTGTAAAACCATGAATGCCCCCAGTTGTTTGAGTCGGGAATTGAACTCGCGAGGTTCTGAATGGGAATCAGGATATACGACGACTGCCTCGTCGTTCGGTTTCCGAATGTAAACTTCCAGTGTCCCTTAATAGGGAGGCCACCGGGCAAGCTCCCGCGCTGGAGAATGATTAAGTAGGATTCAAGGTTCTCACAGCGGTGAGTCCGAAGATGGCCGTATTTAGTCAGTAAGGAGACATTGGACTGTAGAGTCTTCTGGACATTGATACCACATTATAAATTTGTGACGTCATTGCCGACGTGTCACAGTATTAAGGAACCGCGTGGATTTCGAGTCGATTGTAAACGTGACAGAAATCGAGAAGGTGCATGGGAACGTCGACTGTGACGAGAGAGGTGATTCAGAACGTCGATGCATCTTGCTGTTCAGTTTTTACCTTATGTTCTTAGTTGAATTTGATATAAGAAGCAAATCTGTTGTGTAAAGTTGGTTTGAAACTTTCTGTCACACTCTGAAGCTGACGATAGCCCATCAGGGCAAAAAACCAGCGCTGTTTATTATCGCGTACACAGCAGCCAGCAAGTCGAATGTACGCACGGGTCTAATCAGAAGTCTTTGTACTTTCGCTGTAAACCGAAATCTATAACATCGATAAACACGGCTTATCTATCATTTGACTTCTTATCTCCGTGTTGTAAGTCGTGTGATTCATTGTAGTTGATTATAGAAGTCATTCTTCCTGCAATTTCTCCTCAATTGTGTGTAGGTCACCTTACCAGTGCCCGATTTAGACGTGCAGGGCCTCGAAGCCGTCGTAAGATTCGAAGATCCAGTAACTGGACAATATAAAGATGAATATTAATATTTTATGCTTGGTATGGTCTGTGACGAAGTTGTTTGGAAACAGTAGTTAGTGAACCCACCCACGTGCATTTTCTTAGAGATCGGTCAAGGAGTTTTAAATCATAAAATTAAAACAGTACATTTCCATTTTTTTAGTCCCATCAGTAAGCTATGGCGTATTTTTTCTGCCTTGTGCCCCTTCTCATTTCAGTGCGTGAGCCGTCTCTTTGTCCTGTCAAGGCGGTCGTCTGCCATGACAGGACACACTTTTTCGTGTTCACATCTTCTGGGCACTTAATCAGGTCGCAGCAGAGTCCTTGAGAAGCTGACATTCCCTGCCTTAGTGGAACCCAAAGGCTCATTACATTGTTCGCTAGAGGCTGCTACCGATCCCTATCCTAACCCAGATGAACGCAGTCCACACCCTCTAAACCCTGAGTTACATTTTCATTTTTGCCCGGATCTTTCGATTTTTGTCTTCAAACCAAAATTCTGTGCGCATTTCTCATCTCCCGTAAGTGCGTTACATTCCCCGCCCATCTCAACTTCCGTGATTTGATCAACCCTTTATGACGGTGGTTGAGTAGGAAGCTGATCTCATGCATGCCACATTCTACATCCGTCTCCAAACAAGACCCCCATTTTGTGATTCATATTTCTGGGCACGGAGGGTTGTCAACCAGTGGAGATTCATTGGTGGTTGCAGGCCGAGTACAGCGTCGCTTGTGTGTCAAAACAGTGGCGTTTGACTGGAGCATACAGTTTTGCCTCACGTAGCAAACATGGCAGCAGCAGCCTTCGGAATTCTTAAGGTACAATTTGGCTGCACGCGACAGAGACAAGCGACCGAGGCAGGCGACTGAGTTACGAGACTGGTTTTGAATATTGAACTCATAGGTTTTCTTTGTGTCTTTCGCAACAAATAACACAGCAACACATCATCATCTTCTTATTCTTCGAGTAACCTTTTTAGAAGCATTTTTGTACTCATTTTTCACAGAATATGTGCACGTATGTCTCAACAAAACAAAGAAAACAAACACTTTGCCGCATGTCTCGGTCGTCACCTCAAAAGTGTGTGGCGACAAGCTGCGATGTGTCCGTCTCCCGTCTCTGTCACCTGCCTCGGTCGCTTGTCTCTGTCGCGTGCAGCCAAATTGTACCTTTAGAGGAAGTCGTTCACCGCTTGCTGACTCAATGGGATGCATGTCTGGTTGTGGGCAATGAGTTTATTTAAGCGCAGTAGACATTTCAGTTGAACTGCCCTAATATTTGGCGAAGAGTGCAAACTGTGTAGCTCTTCGTTATGCAGTTTTCTGCACCATCCAGTCACTTGATCCCTGTTTGGTCCAAATATTCTCATAAGCACACTGTTCTCAAACACCATCAGTGTGTGTTCTCTCCACAGTTTGAGAGGCGAACTTCCAAAGTTGTAGTTTTTTTAATGCTCTTAGGTAGCAGACAGGAAGACTAAAATGTTTTTGGGTTGCAAGATTGTAACTATTCCGTGAATTTGGTCTGCTCTTTTTGTTTTAATTCAAGGCTTGCAGATGCTGAGGATACCTGCAAATTCGCCTTTTTATTCGGTGGAGTAGACGATGGGTGTTATCCTGCTTGGGGGTTTGGCAGACGGCTGACGCCTCCTCACCATAAAATTTTTTGTTACTGTTTTTCAACCATTATTTGCAGTGTTGTTCGTCAGAGAAGCACACACATAAAGCTGTGTGTGTGCCTTTATAAATATCTCAAGGATTTTCTGTGTTCATGATACTTCATATGTTTATACGTACTAGGAGGTTTTTGTGTATTTTCTTTACAAACGAATTATCGTTCTCCATTCATGTTTAGTCCACGATTTATACTTGTGATTCTATACTAAACGTTCTCTCTCCTCGTTGCTGGTGTCTGTTTTGGGTTTTTCAAGGGCCGTCAAAGATTTTACGTAACTTAGAGACGTCTGCGAACGATTCTGGAACTGGTCTGAGCTCCGCCATTGCACAGCACCACTGTCACATTTTTGCTGCTTCTCTGCGGTTCTTTGAAACAAGTTAATTTGGCGTTCTGTCTTTCCAGAGTGCGATTTACCCAACGTCCTTGCACTCGTGATGCTTCGTGGGAGGTACTGGCTCACCCAATTCCATATTTTTCTTTATTCTCCAAAATATCTTTGGGTAAAACCCATCTTGAAACTGCAATGTCACGTGCTTCCATTGCAGTATTTTCCAGCATAACCTCAAATTTCTCCTTTTTCCTTGGGCCCAAATCACGTCCTTGAATGTTGAAATGTGGCCAGTAATTCCACTGTTCGTTGTTTGTGCAGGGCGTACACATCAGATTTTTTTCCACAGAATTGTCTGAATGATTTCAAATCTGCTGCAGCAAACAGGATGAAATGGAGGGAGTCTGTTAGAAGTCGTCTGAGGTCACTGGGGTGGCATTTATTTGTATCTGTGCCATCTATAGAATTAATGTGTGACTCCATGAATTTTGGGATCATTGTGCCGATTGAACTGGATACAGAAGGAAGAAAGTTCTTCCGATGCCAGGGCTGCGTTCTACATTAATTTGTCTCTTGCAGGGAGATTACATCCAGCATCCCGTGCTCTACGAATTGAGCCACAAGTACGGCCTGCAGTTGGAATGCGACCCTGATGAGCTGAAGGAGCTTATCCGGCGGGAGATACGGAAGGAGTTGAAGATCAAGGAGGGTGCCGAGAAACTGCGTGAGGTGGCCAAAGACAGAAGAAGCCTCTCCGATGTGGCCACCATTGTCAAGAAAGCCAATACGAAGTTGGCAGAACTGCAGGCGGAGCTTCAGGAGCTCGAATCGCAGATTATCTTGACACAGGGCCAGGGCGCCCCCAGCAGCCCTCCTCTCGCGCTCAACAATGGCCAAGGTGAGTGTCTGCTACCACCTCACTTACTCAAACACGTGCATGTCGTTATAACGCACCAAGAAACACGCTCACTTTTCCCAGCCTGAATGGAGTTGTACACGACAGCTCTGTCCTCTACGACATTCAGGTAAGTTGAGGAGTGATGTAAAGAATGGGAAGTGTTCTTTTCTGTTATCAGGTGTTATTTTATTTTACTGTTCTTGTTTTTACGTAGAATGAAGTAGCAGTTACATTGCTCCTTTATGGCATTGTATATGTAAATAATTATTACATAAATAGTGTTACAGGATGGGTTGAAGAACTTGAAGGGGACAGGGTTAATGTAACGCTGATGGGGTTTGCGGTAAGATTGTGGAAATAGACAAGTTCATAAGTGAGAACGTATTATTTTTCATTTGCTTCTTGACCGAGATGCTCCTTGAGTGGGATCAGGCCCCAGTTTCTCTGTCCGTGTTTACCACCGTACAGACCACTGGGCCCAGGTAGATGGTGCAACGGTTTTTGTTGGTGGGCTCACAGATATGCTCTGCCAATCTGGGTTTGTCATCTCGTTAAGGTTTCTGACAAACGGTGTTTGTGGAAGCAGACCATCGGAGTTCATAATGGCCTGCCTCTCACCCACACCACTCTTGACCTTGTTAGATGTGACCGTCAGTCGAACTCAGAGCTGGGGTTTAAGGCTGCCCACAGCCAGGGTGCCGCTCCTGAGTGATTATGCCAACAGCAACTCCTGCTTGATCCATGTGTCACAGTCCCTTATCATTATCAGTTCTGAGTCCTTGGTATCATGGTGGTCAAGGTACATCTTCGCCCTGCTTTGTGCATCTGACAGACTGTTCTCTCAGAACACGGGCCTGTCCTTACCGACACCGCGCATCAAACATCCTTTCAAAACCGACTGAACCTCGTCGACTTAATTAATGACTTCAAGTTAATGGACTGACCAGATTATCCAGGCCTACGTTGAATGCGGCCCACCTTGAAATCTTGATGTCACGCGGTAAACGACGAGGAAGCGGTCGGTGAGTGCTTTGAGGAGCTGACGAGTGCCATCCTGGAGGTCAAAGTGATATTTGCTCCTAAGTGTCAACCATGAGGCTGCCTCCTGCATCCTCCAATGTTTTTGATGAAACGTGCCTGAAGATCCCATTGTAGAGGCAATGGCAAGTTACGATTTACCTCGCTGTGCACCCCACATTAGTTGAAGTCGCTTGACTGTCCTGCTCCTGCATGTTTTTGCCTTTTGCCAGGCGGAACAGTGTCTGAAGAGTATTCTGTTTTCTTAAATCATAATATTTGTACAATAAATGTAACTGCAATCTACCAAGATATGGTCAGACTTTGGGGTGTCTTGAAGAACAATAGTGCAGTTAATTTTCCAGAACCTTCACACTCCTGCAGTTGTCTCTTACTTTTGAAATGTGTTTTGATATTTGTATTTGTGTAGCTGCTCTGTCTTTGTAAATGAGGTGGTCAGTTTGTTGTTTGCAGATGCAATGCCGTCTCCAGAGTCGGGCCATACGACTCCCACACAAGCGGATGCGCTGTTTAGTGACCTACGTCTTTTGTCCCTTGAGAAGCAACTCAACATAGAGCTTAAGGTAATAATGCAGTCATTCGTTGTTCAAACATATTACTTTTTATGCATTCTTGACATGAATTGGGAAGGATGGCACAGCGACAAAACTTTGAACTCGGCATATCGAACCTTAGTTGGGTCTCTCCATGAAAATGCCAAGACAGAACATACAGGATTATTCGTTATTGCCAGGTCTTGAAAACGGTTCTTTCAGAGGCTATCATACTAGTTTATATTTTTTACAAGTAACTGGTATATTGTAAGATACAAAAACACTTTTTATTTCTGCTGCTAGCATTCTATTCCAGTGTCTATTTTTCACTGTCCATGTTCTGCTCTCCTGAAGTAGCTGATTATCACCCTCTTCAGGTTTGTAGTGTTCTGCCATACTGTATCCATCTTTAAGTGCACTTATTTAAGATTGCTGTTGATCAAATCTTCAGTTAACAATCATGGTCTTTGTTCATTACTGCTGGGCGAAAAATAGAAACTATGTGCTGCTCTGCGTAACCAAATCAAACCAATACTTTGCTGGCCACCAAAACCAATCGTACACACATCGGCACTGAATGTAGTGTAGATTAAGTTTTAAGGTCAGAGTATTTTGTTTATTGTTATTGCAACCATCACGGACTCACAACACCACAAACTAAAGATCACTGTTTTGTGTCATGCCTTTTGTATTATTTTGGGAAAAAATTTGTAGCATTATTTGAAATGTTTTTTATGACTATTTGCAGGTAAAGCAGGGCGCTGAAAATATGATACAGAGCTTGACGAGCGGCCATTCCCGGGACAAGAAATTGTTACAGGAGGCCCAGCAGATGCTTGCTGACTCGCGTGTTAAAATAGAGTTCCTCAAGTTGCGAATCCTGAAGATAAAGCAGAATAAACAGCTTCGACAGCAGCAGGGCGCCAGCGACACGTCCAGCAATGGCGACACTCATCAAGCCAAAGGTGAGAAATAGAATAGTAGCGCTGTACTGAGTCTGTCCTACATGCGCAGTTCCTGCTGCGTACAAATCTTATAAGCCTACACACTGCTCCCGCGCATACACGCAATTCACGTAGTTCCTCAACATTAAAGTGCACAGGCTTTTGTCCATCACAGTGCACATAACACCCACCCAACGTCAGAACTTTTGCCCTGGTACTGCACAGATTATTCTTGCTGCAAGTCAGCAGAAATTTTCTTACATTCTGAAGGGCAGGGACTGGTTTTTGTCTAAACATCAACTTGCCACCAGTGTCTTGTGCGCTTTTGTGCGATGCAGTTTCCATTATTCGGATTTAACTTTTGATATTTGAGTTTGTGTTAATTCCGCCCTGTATGTATGTCATATTACAGAATTGTGCATACACATTTCAGTCATATGACAGTCATCAGTCATCAGTGAATGTACAAGGGCGTTTCAAAAAGTAACAGCAAATTAAATTGGAGATACAAATGATATGTCATTTTTCTACATAATCACCCTCGTTTTCAATACACTTCTCACACCGGTGCACCAACTTCTTTATTCCATCAGAAAAAAATGTTTTTGGTTGTGCCTTCAGCCATGAATGCACCGCTTCTTTGACCTCGTCATCATTCCCAAATCTTCGTCCTGTCATTACGTCCTTCAGGGGTACAAACACATGATAATCAGAGGGAGCAAGGTCAGGGCTGTATGGGGGATGCTGTAACATCTGAAATCTCAATCTCCGAATGGTGTCAAGAGTTGCAGCAGCCGTGTGATGGTGTGCGTTATCATGGATGACCGGAGCGTCGGTCATCACGGATTGATGTTCGCCCATTTTTAAATGCATCTACCCACTCGTACACTCTTCTCTCCATACTGTTGCAGCATTCTTCTATGAATTTCACGAGGTTTCACACCCTCCGACCACAAAAATCTGATGATTGCTCACTGCTCCTCTACGGTGCAAACAGCTAAGGGCACCGCCAATTTGTATCTGCATCCCTTCCAATTAAGCATGCCATGCCATCCCATCCCATCTATTGGGCGGTGTCAAAACCTCCTCTAAGAATGTATCTTCCCTGTGCAGGAGTTTGAAATGCCTGGGGTATTTTTTTCGTGAAATATTGTCAATTTGCTGCTACTTTTTGAAACGCCCTCGTACTACAGAGGACTGCGTGCAGAAGTTTACTTTACTCTTTGATAAATGCGGTTGTAAGGAATGGTTGATGATGCAGTTTATATGAAGAACAGAAACTGTGGATAAGAACAGAGCCATAATTTGTCCTAGTGTCCATGGCAACATGCTTCTTCAACTGTTTACTACCGAGGAACCCTTTTGGTTATAATATGTTTTTGCAGAGCCTTTGGAACAAATGTTCTTAGAAGTACTGATCTTTAATTTATAAAGTAATTGCAGAAAGTACAATTAAATTCTCCTCGTATTTTGTGAAACGGTTTATGCTGTTCAGATGGTTCCATTTCAAAAACAAAGAATTCTGACTGCAGTAGTGTTTATAAACTTTGGTGATGTAAATGTGACACGGGAGACAAGTTGCCTTTAGTTTCATTTCTTAGGAAGAGCTTACGGGAAAGCTTTACATCAGATATATGCAAAATCTCCACCGCGCCCTCAAAGACAAGCATCCGCCCGAAATGTTGTTAGCGGTCTTTGTATTGTCTTGTACTGTACTTTGTTGTCAGGATACGCATTGCTTAATGCATATGAACGGCAGCAAACAATTTTAATGAGCGAGAATGATCTTGTTCAAGTATCATTGAGAAGGTTGGGCGAGAGTGTTACATTGAGGTAGATCTGTTTTTGATTTTGTTTTTGTATGCACTGTAGTACATGATTGTATGCTGGGTTTCATTTTAAATGGTAAGCCTGTACTTGCCTAATATAGTTGGTGCACCTGCTTGCTGGAGTTTGTCAGGTGCAGGTTCGGAAATTTGTATCCTTATGTTGCGTTTGATATTTAATTTTTGTCACTGCATATTTTGAGAATGTTATTTCGTGCAGAACATAACATTTTTCTGACTAACGCTGATTATAAAAGTCATTCCATGTTGGAAGACAGCACTGTTTTTTTTTCCAACATTCTTTTCTTTCAAAAGTCTATTTTGCAATAGAAGGACTCTGTTTTTTCACATGCCAGGATAGCTGTAATAGTTAAAAATTAAAATGTTAAATTTTATTTATTTATTTTTGCAACAATATCCGCTCGGTATGCTAACCTCAGGAGCCACAAAGTGTCACACGACGTTATGAAAGGCTGAAGGTATGGTCAACAGTAAATATCTGAATCAGATCTCTGTTTTATAAATTTTGAAATCTTTCTGACCTTATTTTCAGTGTTTGGAATCTCTTTCACATGCCAAGAGCGTGACCGTGACTCGTAATACAGTGGCTACTTGTACATTGGCTTTAACATGTGCAATAAAAGCACTCATTTGACCAGCCACCGATCATGCCCTATCACTCCTTTTCATATGAAGCTTGACCTTTGCTACATCATACAACAGCCAATCACATTAGTGTGTTGGGGGACAGCCTCCAGCCTTTTGAAAGAATGTGCCAAACATTCTTAAAGGCTGACCATTTGTGCAAGGCTCAAATGCTTTTACTCTGTTTTAATTTTTGGTGGTGAAGGCTGTCTAAATTTTTCATGCGCCCATACGAAGGTACATTCGTATCAGTGCAGAAAAGTGCCTCTGACGGGGAAGAGTGAATTTTCGAGATTCTTGCTGCCAAGTGGACAGTTGACCCCAGACCTCTTGACGTTTCTTTAGATTTTGCCTAGGACATCACAAAAGCTTGCTTATTGCTTGTATGTGAATGAAACAGATAGAGTTCTGTAGGTACTGTAATGGTCGAAGGTTTTCCACTAAGTAGGAACTGCCCACCGCCACGGTGGTCTAGCGGTTAGAACGCTGGCCTTGTAATCCTGGGGTCTCGGGTTCGATTCCCAGCGGTGCCCGAATTTATAACTTGTATTGAGCAAGGCCGTGGTCTAGACAACACGGGGGCTTCCCCGGTTTCTCCGTGGCATCCCAACAATTACTCCATTCACACACAGAAGAAGGCAATGGCAAACCACTTCTGGATCATCTGCCAAGAACGTATATGAACAGGTCCCAGTCCGAGAAAAGGATGGAAGGATCCTGTTCATAATATGTCGCCAACCTCCTGTAAAGGAGACGGCATAATAAAGAATCAGTATCCGTGATCAATATGCAAACTATTTTAAGTGATGAAGGCCAAGTACCTTGGCAGTTAGGTATGATCCATTGTTAGGGGAATGTAAATTACACAAAATTATTTTGTAAATTATGTTTTTTTCCCCCAGTAGTTTTCTCATTAAAAGTGGATTAAGTATTAATATTACTTCGTGGCTGTTGTTTACTAGCCTTGCACCACAGGACCGACTGCCCCTCAGTTTCAGAAATTAGATCTTCGGTATTAATTGATTCCCACGTCGATGGTTTCTGAGTAGATTCCAAGTGGCGACTGAAAAGTGTCGTGTGAAGGAAGTAGTGGTTTGCTACATGCTACGCCACTTTTGCGTGTCCCATGGTCTGTGGCGATACCAGACACTCAGAAGTCGCGGCCAAATCGGTAAGTGAGTGATCTGCTTCACGAGCACTTTCCTACGATTGAAGCAGCACGTCTCTGCGCTACGTAAGTTAGGCCAGCTTGGTGTTGTCACGGTAAATGCAAGATGGCGAATGTTATAGGAACCAAGTTGAGATTTGTTTCATAAGTGACTGAGGAAAATAAAATCTAAAACCGAACTGTGAGCCTACGCTGACGAAGCAGTTCGACAGCTGGAAAAATGTGTGTTTCAATAAGGCATCCACTTCACCGAGTGTTTGTCAACAGTACTTGAGACGGTGACATTCAGTCACATAATCACGAAGAAATTCCCTCGCTTTGTCCGTCCTGAACGTTCACTGGCATGTTGAGAGCTTTCCGCTACTGGACGTCCCAAGGCAGTGGAATTCAATTGACACCCACATGCCCTACTTCAATCTGTGTCTGGATTTGGTCTGCTGAGGATTTACGTCTCTTTCAAGTAGAATTTGAGGTTCTCACGGCGACGAGTACAAATATTTTTGGCTCCTTGTTTGCTACATGGCCAGTTCATCTCGTCTTACTGATTTTACCTCCCGCGTAGTATTTAATGAAGAATTCAAATTAAGTTGTTTCTGATTGTGCAGTTTTGTGCTAGGTCGAAGGGATGAACATGCAGTTTGCACAAGTTCAAGGAAGTGGGTTTAAAGTTACACATATTAATTACTCTCTCTCACACGCTGCTGCATTGATCGTATCAGAGTTACATTATCGCGTGTTCTTTGCCTGAAATTACCGCATTAAGGGCTGATAGTGTCTATCCGTCCACATGCTTCAACTCGCTGGGCGGATTTTGGTTAAATTTCGTATGGACCAATGGGTACCGGTGTCCTTTCCCGGGGGTAAAGCACGGCCGGGGCATGATGCTGACCACTCACCCCCATCTAGTGCCGAGGTCCCCCCAAGCGCCTACATGGCGTATAGTGGGACAGCTTTAATTTAACTTTATAGACACTATGCCATTTGAGGCTTCCCCAGCATCACACGTTGCATTTTATGCAGTCCATGACAAAATGGTGGACACGCGAACTTGTGAGGTGTCAGCGACCCTAGATACAGGATCCTGGATTGACGCATGGTAACATTTGTTTAAAAAAGTATGCAGCTTTCTTGCTGCGATTGTTTGAATTCTGTGAAGCAAGAACTTGGCCGCTGTATGGAACAATAAATAAATTCCGATTGGATGATGTTTCGATTGCATTATCATCTGTGTCCCGAGTCCGTTACTTAGCTTAATGCGTTGCATCGTGGGATTATAAATTACGTAAAAAGCGCATGGAAGTCGTTTGCGTAAGATCGTGGAGGTTTTGGGTTATAATTTTTTCTCTAATACGGTCAATTTAAGTTGAATCTCGACATGATGACTTACAGATACAGGGCGAAGGCGCTGCTCTTGTCTTTGCAGCCGGATTACGCCCTTCCAGTCTCATTGTCATTTTGATTGCGAGAGAGGAGTCTTTTATTTCTATCCATTTCGATTCCTACATTTTGTGTTTCTATTAGTCGTGTCGCTCCGAGAAGTTCGTAGCCGCTTAGCATTGCAGTTGGCGACGAGATGCGCGCGTCTTATCGCGATATCGCAAGTGTTCGGACGCATATCGACGCGATAAGAGGGGGCGGCAGGAACGTCCTGGCACCTGACCTGCTCTTCTCCGCCTCCTGCCCTGCTCGTACTTGACCGTATTAGCCAGAGACCACGTACCACCTCGGGCGGAGGATTCTGCGCCCTGGCGAGTGTGCCAAAAACATCGTCATCAGGAATAATTACGCACTTGCACTCTCCCCGCCCCCCGCCCCACTTCATCCAGCCCCTCCCGTGCCGCCAAACTATGCGATCTAATCTAGGGACGCTTTTAACACCGCGCACCCTTGGACGCTGATGGACATGTTTGCCGCTGTCCTAGTTCGTTTGTTGGTTGACCTAGGAACCGAAGTCGCGGGCAGCTTGAATATTATCAGTGGTCGCGAAGTTCGTCTCAAGTACGTCGACGGTAAAGCCGTGAAGTCGCCCTCGGTTTTAGTCTCCCTAGCTGGGGGAGGGGGGGAACGCAACGTCACTTTTTTGCGCGAAATTTCGTTATTTTGTCCGTGTGTTGTGTCCGTTTGAAGAATTATCTCGCGAGTGCGTGTTTAATCGTGTTTATATGTGGTCTGTATGCAGAAGCTACGTACGCCGGGAGTGTTTTAGACGGAATTCCGGAAATGAGCGAAGGGTGGGCGAAATGGCCACGAACTGTAAAGCATGATGCGAAATACTGCCCAGTTTCTCGTGCAAAAATCGACGTAAACTTACTCCCAGTTTGACGCCATTTCCGCCGAGTGCAGTAACTGTTACGTAATGCGCGTTTTTTGGCCCTCGGCATTGTTAATGACCGCCCCCGCGTCACGGCATGGTTCGTCCGAAAGGGCCTGCAACGCAGGTAACATTTATGAAATGAAAGTTCCAGGAACATGACATCTTCCGCGATGACCTAGACCACTTCGCGATGAATGTGCGGTCGCTGAAGAAGTGGCCGCGCTGGATGATAGTGCGTAGCGATGCCACGTATCAGGTGAATGATGACATTGATGATTTCCTCCGTGCAGATAGATATGAGCCGAACCTGGAGCTGCCGTTGGAGGACCGCGTGGAGGAACTGCGACATCGGCTTAGGATCGAGGCGGCTGTGGTCGAGGGGGCGAAGAATGTGATCCGCCTCCTTCAGAGCTCGAAGGTTGCCGACAAGAAGGCCCTCCAAGAGGTGAGTCCAGCAGTTCAGCGAACTTTTGTAAGAATTTCTATATTCACACGTTATAATAATAAAAATGCAATGTCGTATGCTTCGTGATTAGAATTTGTAACACACTGGTTCATCATCGGTACTTTTCCAACATGTATTAAGTTTTGCGCACTTAAGGCGAAGGTTTGTGTGTGGTTTCATGTTTATGGTCATGTGTAATTCTGTACCTGCCTTGGGTGGGGCGAAATTGTGTGGTGTGTCATCATGTGGCTTTGACAAACTAGACTGTGCCCTGAGTCAAAAGACGTTGAACTAAAGTGAAGATCTTGGGGGAAAGTCTGGATTATTACACACTGAAGTCATTGATCCTTGTAGATTCCGGTTGAAGATGGGAAACTACGTTTCTCATAAACGTCAGTGGCTACCTGTGCATCCACACAGTGTCTCAGCCTAAGAAAGGAACATGTTAATCTTCTCCACCATCAGAAGATTAAATCTTACAATTTGCACTGGGTTTCTTAAGAAAATTCATGTTTCCATTATGAGAACACTGTGTTAAGGATTCCAGGTCTTGAAAATCGTCCCTTCAAGGGACAACATACTGATTTTTATTTTGTAATGGTTACGGGTTTAATTAACAGAAGAAAGACGTTTTTAAAGTATGTTTTATTGTAATTATGACACCAGCTGTACATTTGCATCTCTTCTGAATTCGGGCATCGATAATTTAGAGTTCGCTTCTGTTTTCCCTGCCCGTGGCTTTTATTTGCCTTCCATCAGTTGTAGTTGCTTGTGTCACACGTGTTTAATGACACAAATAAATGTAATCAATTTTGAAGAGAAACATGAATGATTGTGTTGATGTCCGAGGTGTTGGACTTCATCGCAGGGCAAAACGAGTGTGAAGACCGTGCATCGCTCTACCGTCTGTATCCTGAAGTAGGCAAGCTGCTAGCAACAGCTAGGAGCACATTCGAAACTCGTGTCTGCTTGAATTTTTTTTATTCTTATAATTTATTCACGAAAATATTAATTTAAACAGCGAAGTTGTATATTCCATTCAATTCTTAAAAAATTTCTGTGTGGAACTCATACCAAGAGCTATTGCACACAGATGACGAAATATGTTGATTGTGATATCTGAAGGAGAAAGAACAATTTTGTTTGCCTGTAATGCGAAGGTGGTCCACTACCGAAGCTTTCGTTAACGATCAAGATTTTAAATGTTCCATGTTTGAGTCTGAGTGTAGGCAAGTAATTTTGTTAAAAAACTTAAGAAGCGTTTTTGTTTCATGAAGTACGCCAGTTTTTTTCTTTCTTTCAGAATATGACTTAGTATGTAGGATTTTTAGGTTCTCACGGCGGTGATTCCGAAGATGGCTGTCCTCTGGGTTGTAGCCCCACGTAAACTTCAACCATGTTTCTACAACCCAGCAGACAGCCATCCTCATGACTTAGAATGTTTGTCCTTAAAAGGGCTACTTGAAAAACTGGCATCTTCAACAAGATGTCCAGAATCCGCTTGAGTTTGAACCACGGATCTCATTCGTCTCAAAATCGACTGAATGATGGATCGACCATAACGTTAAGACGAAGAAACTTCAACTGTTAACCGACTGTATATTAAATTCATCGTGGGTTTCATTTCCGTTATTTCTGACTTGTTACTTATGATGGACTTTTGTGTGGTTATGTGACGGAGATACTTTGATGCTCGCCCAGAGTGCTGTTTGTTAACGTTTATGTGCCCACAGAGGGGGTGGGGGGGAACTGTTCGTCTGAAACCCTCCGATTCGGCTGTAGATTGTCACCGACAAACTTGACTGGCCTTTGCAGAGGCGCGCTGAATGCCCCAGCGCTTTATTCGCGGACCGTCGAGTGCACGGACATTAGCCGCGTCACTGTCAGTGAAGTTTCGGCGTTCGGAACTGTTTGACACTTTTCCTCAAGGTCAGACGCTCGTATAGATCCTTCCGTAGTTAGATGTAAAGGTTCGTTCCCGCCGAGTTGCCGCAGGACCCGGATGGTGCCTTGACAACCGTCAGAAGTCTCGGTCACCAGGATTAGTCAATTATTCGCCCTTCATTTGGGCCACGAGGCTGCTGGAGGACTTCGCCTGGTGGGCGGTGGCGAGAAATGCACCAAGTACTCGCTTGTCGTACGCCCCACACACTCCCTCCTCGGCGAACTGAGTTTCTGGCCGCTGGTCGCCCGTGGAAATGGAGGTTTGGGCGTTGGGATTCTCTGACGTGGGTGCGGACTCATCTCCTGACAGGCTCTGGGCGTTTTTTTTTAGTGACGTTGCCCCTCTTCATCTGTTGTGAGACAGCCCGTGACAGCTCGTCAGTTGGGCGTTGACAAAAGACCAGTTCCTCGTCTGAAGGCATGCTTCAAGCAGTCGGAGAAGTCGCCCTTAATAGAATCGTTCCAGTGTGGAAAAAACCATTCGTCTGCCTCGAGTGTCTCCTTCCTTTGGGTCAGATGGGCAGTTCGTCCCGTCCAATCAGCCCGGGGTCTCTCAATGTTTGTGGCTTCTGTGTGTTGCGTCCCTAGGTCCTGGAACACGCTTGCATTTGGTCTCGCCTGCTAACCAGCGACGAAAAATCAGCAGATCAGTCAGAACCTGGCCTTGCGAACATGATATCACAGGATTCGATGAAACTGCCCTCCACTTCCTGTAATTTTTTTAGTAACCATAATAAGTAAAATAAAAACAGGGAAGTCATCCATCGGCTCTAAGATGGCTGTCTTCTGGGTTGTTGCGCCGTGTAGTTTGGTAAATTCAGTTCGCCATTTGTCGTTGGTGTCTAAAATTGGAAGGAATTTGTCCTTTAAAATATGGATTTGTGAGGCCGAAGCAGCGTCGCCTCTCTTTGAGTTGGTCGACTTGCCTTCGGCGAAGGGTCATTGCTCCTTTGGTTGCCGTGTATACTCGTAGGTTACGTGTGCAGAGTCGTTTGCTTCGGAAGGAACTGTCTATTTTTAAAAAGGCAGCATCAGCAATCGATTCGTCGTGTCTTGGTATCCGATCTTTTCCCGTATAAATGATGTGATGCCGACCAGTTCACTTCGTCTGCCGATCGCCCGCATTTTTGAAACTGGAGCAGTTGACTCATTTCGCCAGGGGCGCGAAAATTGTGGCTGTCGTCATTCTTACTGAAATGCGGTTTGTTAGCGACTTTTTCGCTACCTTAGTGGTAAAAGCTTCACGCCCTGACACACGAAGCATAGATCTGTTTTCATGCTTTATTGTTGATAATGCTAAAACGGAGGACATCTGACGCGGAAATCGTCTGTCTGCGTAAATATTTTGTTCGAAACCGCTTTATGAATTTTGGTGCGGCCTCATTTTGGGTGTCTTCGCGGAACTTCGTCGGTCGCGTTCTGTTTTACGTTCGCGACGAAGGGCTAGAAAGATATTCACGCTGTCACTGTATTGTCTTTATAAAATTATTGGGCGCTTGGCTGGCGAATGAAGGGGACTTTAAGAGGTTAGGCTATCGCAGTGTCTCCGAGAGTTTCCATGTCATTGCCGTGCTGGAGCAGTCGACGTTTCAACTTTGAATGCCATCAGTGATTATTTCACATATTGCGTCCTTGACTGAGTGCAGTAAACTAATTTAATGTTTTCATCTTTATTGGGTTAAAATGTAACCAAAATCGGTGTTATTTTGCTGATATCTATTAAATGTTTTCGCATTTGCGGTAACAAGTGGCTTCATGCAAATCCTTAGACAATTCTTCGTTAGCAAGTGTGTTTTTGTTGCAACGGCGTCGCCACTTGGGACATTTTTGAACAAAAGAATGCGAAATCATTTGGTGCTGCCTCTCAGTATGAGACAGGAAATACTTCATCAACTTGTGGTACCAGAAAGATGATTTTTGTGTGATTGGCAAGTGGCTTTTTTTTCAGCATCTCGTAGCAAACGCGTGTGTGTGTTATCGGATCGGTTGAACAATTAAAAAGGAAACGAGAAAAACAAGGCTGCCAAACCATCACGAGGCGCTGTCTTGAAGATTCCCTCCCTCAGTCGCCTTTGAGCACTGAACTGTTGAACACGACAGCAAATAGACAGTTTGAGAAAGCTCGAACACTTCTGGGTACTTACCAAACGCTTTGTGCCATTCTTGCCTTAAGAAGCCAAGTTCAGATAAACGCGATTTCAAAAGCGCGTGTGTTCAGCAACACATGACCTTCTGAAGGACTGTGCTCCGAAAAGTCGCTTGGTTACAGTTGCCACGACCGGGTGAAGTATTTGCGCTTGTTAAACACTTCCTGTCATCGACTTTTGTGACTCAGCCACCAGTAGCTTAGTTTGACGGCGCTGGTGGCCGAACTGCGGCAGAAATGAGGCGTCCGGACGTGGAGAGGCTCTCTGTCACTCAGTGGAGCCCGCAACCCTCGTCGTGTCCGAGCCGAGTGGGCACCACAGTCCCGGTTCTGTGTGTCGGCAAAGGCACGATCTTACACTCCGCCGTCATGGGCAGGACTTCGATAAAGCAGGAGGTGTTAAAATTGCGAACGTCAGATTATTGCCACTATATAAGCCCGTCACTTCTGAAACTTAAATTTGTTTGCTAAATTTCTCCGTATACGGCGTATTCCTACAGGGTTTCCACAGCAGAAAGTGGCATCAGCGTAAAAACGTCGTTACTCGGAAACGGCGGCGAATCTGGGAGGGGAAAAAAACGTTACTTGTATTTGCTCCTACAGATGGTCTCCGAGACAAGCCCCGTAAGTATTATAGCAGAGCTTTGAATCACCCTGTATAAAGATTTTGTTCTTTAGTCTGGTGAATGTGTACTTGGTTTTCCTTGAGTTTTTCAAAGACCCCCCCCCTTAAAAAACACCGTTCTAGCCGGAACGAATGCTCTCTCTCTTTCTCCCTCCCAAAATTGTTTTCGCGGTTCACGGGTGCTGTAAGACACCAAATCTGCGTTCATCTTCAGGGCGCAGAGGGCTAGACGGGGACCAACCGACGGGTCGCTCTTTTTATTTCGTGTCTACTTAACATTCGCCC